GAAGTCTGGATTGAGCGTGTTGTCGATGCATTCTGTCCGCTTCAGCTCGGCCCATTCCCTTGACCCAAATGGCTGGTGGTACACAATGCAAATTGGATCCGACTTGGAGAATACATCTGTATCTCGTAGATTCCTGTTAAAAAAAAGGGTAAGTTCTAAAACACAGCTAGCTATGAGATGGTGTTTAAAAGGGATTTCTTTTCTTATCTGTTAAAAAAAAAAAAAAAAAAAAAAAAAAAAAAAAAAAAAAAAAAAAAAAAAAAAAAAAATTTTTTTACTATTTTAAAACAATATTTTCTATATTTACTTTTCCTTTGCATATGTTCATGAAAGCATTTTGACCAAATAATTTCCTCATATTCCTCAAATAGATGAGATAATGCAATGACAAACAGTAACATTTTGAGAAAATCAATTTATGAGCAATCTCAGAGTAAATCTAGTTACAACCAACATTCATAATAGCCAAAATTAGAGATAAAAACATATCATCTTGAAGAAAATCTATGCTTGACATATTATTGTTATATAAGATTAATTAGTTATGGCTGTTATTTATACCCATTAAAATAGTCAAAATGTTTGTTTTTCATAATTCAGGACAATGTATTAATTCCCAAATTATCTACAAAGAATTATATACAAAAAATAAAGTTAATTTCATGTTTCTTGACATCAACATCTCTGATTATCAGGGTAGTTAGCTGTGAGTCTCTAACCTGTCTCTCTTCATGGGTGAGCATGTAGGTGTTACTTTCCACTGGTCCTTCCTTGAGCTTACGAACTGTAGTGTAAAATGTGCCAATGAGCTTGTGGCTGCCTGACGACTTGAAATTCTTACACATTACTTGGATGTTGCGGTCATAATCTCCGCTGCAGAGGGTGCTCAGCGGAATGGAAATCTCCTTCCACGTGGGATGCTTGGTGCTCCTGACTGTCTCCGTGCGGTGGACCAGAGTGTACGACCCATCCTCGTTTGCCTTGTAGAGCTCCAGGAAAGGGTCGAGAGCGCAAAACCAGCTGCGGTTCTCCAGGTTTTTCGCCATCAGTTGCAGATGCAGCTCCTCCTTGCAAGAGCTGACTTCCTCTGTCACGATGATAATGGATCCATTGTTGCTACTGGTATACTGGTCATTTCTGAGGGGCTTCTCCACCTTCTGTGAGGACACCAGGAAACCCAGGGTGCACTCAAACTCCCCAAGGAAGTCATGGTCCTCTAGGCTGGAGGAGCCGGAGTCGATGTCAAAGAGACGGAACTTGAGGTGCTGCTGCTCCTCGAAATGGTACGTGAGGGGGATCTTGGTGGCGAAGTCTGGATTGAGCGTGTTGTCGATGCATTCTGTCCGCTTCAGCTCGGCCCATTCCCTTGACCCAAATGGCTGGTGGTACACAATGCAAATTGGATCCGACTTGGAGAATACATCTGTATCTCGTAGATTCCTGTTAAAAAAAAGGGTAAGTTCTAAAACACAGCTAGCTATGAGATGGTGTTTAAAAGGGATTTCTTTTCTTATCTGTTAAAAAAAAAAAACACTACCTCTATAGTAATTTTAACAACCAAATTAGAATTGTCAAGTAACCTTTACTTTGAGAGAAAAAAAAAAAAAAAAAAAAAAAATCATCTTTATATGCATCTATTACTTCAGGGAACTTGTGAATAGAACCAAAAGGTGCAGTTGAAATGCATATCACATCACAAGTGAGATTTCTGGTAAAATGAGAAAAGTGGCAAAGAAAGAAAGGAAAAAACATGCAGGAAATAAAAAAATCAAATATATTCTGCCCATGCTCTTTGCTCTCATGAAATCAAGCTGAGAATGCATTATCTTAAGCACTATGCCACTATATAAATTTGGTTCAACAAACTCAGTCACTAATTATTTCAATATCACTATGCATTAAAGAAAAAAAATATATATGTATTTTTCTCAATATATAAAACAATAGCATAATATACATCATGCATTAAGACAAATTCACTTTAATTTCATTATAATTTTCTTCACTAACTGTCTAGTTATAGGTCTATAAATGTACAATTTTCCTCTAAAAAAAAGCTGCAATTTCTAAAATACTCTTCTTGTTGTTGAACTATATTTCTTAAACATGTAATATCATCAAATAAATTAAAGATGCTACTCAAAGAAAACATTTATGCACATATAGTCAAGTTAAATAAAACAATACTATAAAGCCTATTCCTGTACTCCCCTTCCTCATTAACACTTTCTTTTTGTCTTCTCTAAAAACAGTTTCCTCCTCAAAGAAAAAAGTCATATCCCTGTTGCTTGAAAGACTTTGTATGCTATATTTAGAACTGAATAAAATACCTTGACAATTCAATAGTTGCAACTCAATCCTAGGCTAAACGGTTTCTTTCTAATCCCAGGAACTCTTTCAAAATACTTGTTTCCTTATTAAAAACTAGGCTGAAAATATTTTCATGCACTGACCTGTACAAAACTGATGCCTATTTCAAATGCTAATAAATACATATCTAAAATCATAATCAAGTATAATCATAAATAGGAAAAAAATCTTCTAAGATTCTCACAGTTATTGTAAGCTAAGTATAAAATCTGCACATCAGCAGAAACAGACTGGAAATGAGAAAATCAATTACCTCGCCTTCTCCCCGTGAACGATTGCATAAAACATTCAAAAGGAGAGAAAAGAGTGAGAAAACATCTGATTACATAAAAGCAGAGTAAGTTCAATTCATCTTTCTTCAGTGTTATAACAACCCTCCCTGACCAGGACTCGAACTCTTGCCACTCCAGGGAAGCCCAGAGTGGCCAGTACTAAACCAACTATACCACACAACCCATGAAGAGGAGTGTGAAACTGGGAGCTAACTGGCTCCACAGACATTACCTATCAACTCATACATGAGTAATGATAGCAAGGTTTTAAACACACTCTCCGTGGGCACTCGGTGGAAATTGATTTTGAAATTCAAAGTCGAAGTCAGATGTACTGAGGTGTACATATGAAATATGGAATAAAGCAATGCCACATTGATATAGATATACAAAAACTCTCCCTGACCAGGGCTTGAATCCTTGCTACTCTAGGTAAGACCACAGTGACCAGTACTGGTTTAGTAAGGGTCACTCTGGTCCTACCTGGAGCAGCAGGGGATGGAGTCCAGGTCAGGGAGAGTTTTTAATTATCTATATCATTGTGGCATTGCTTTATTCCATCTTTCCTTAGTATCTAAATAAAGGCACTTTAGAAAGCTACAAATGCATCTCCCACCTTTCAAGGCAATCAACCAAAAGAAATATTTAATGAACCAAAATGCTTATTATATCAATTTGTACTTCAAACCAGATGCCTTTTACACATATGGATGCTACATTGGAAGCCAGTGAGAGTATTTTTCCAAACATGCATCAGAATACTGAACATACACGTGACCATAAAATAGAAAGATCAGATTGAAATGTACATGACACTACAAATAGCCATTATCCATTTGTCAATCACACCAAAAATAATCATACAACACACGCTGGTCAACACACATTCGGACTCACCTGCAAGAGATTGTCAGTTCGATCTTTGATGTTGGCGTGCCAGCCGACCCGGCCATGTCAGGCTACTATGCAACTCTAGTCTAAGTGCTTCTGCTGCCTACCTCTCTCTCCTTCTCTCCTGGCGCTGCTTCGTTACACACCTATGCAACACGAGTTATGACAAAGCGTGAGTACAAAAAGAGAATTTATTTCTTCAATGTGTAAATAAAGATTTGTACGAAATACTACACAAAGTATTAGTCATAAATGTAAAACATGCATACATACATTTTTATAAAAGAAAATACATGGGTCTATGGGTGTGTGGACTGTGCATGCGTACGTCTGCGTCTGTCTGTCTGTTTGTGAAAGCATATGTGTGTGTGTGTGTGTGTATGTGTGTGAGAGAGAGAGAGAGAGAGAGAGAGAGAGAGAGAGAGAGAGAGAGAGAGAGAGAGAGAGAGAGAGAGAGAGAGAAATTTCAGTATTCTCCCTACAAAAACTGGCATTCTTTTCTTTACAGCCCTTCTAGTATAAACAGCAAACGACAAACTCAAAGTGGCAAGAATCTGCTGACCCCCAGCTGACCTGTTGCTGATGCACCTCCTTCTTCCGACCTCCCCTTTCCCTTTGCTACAGAGCGACTGTATCTATGCCATTCATAATTCTAATCTTTGGCATGTGCAAAACAGTTTTACGACTGTTTCACTCCAAATTCTTGTACAAATCTGTGTGTGTGTGTGTGTGTGTGTGTGTGTGTGTGTGTGTGTGTGTGTGTGTGTGTGTGTGTGTGTGTGTGTGTGTGTGCATGTGTGTGTGCATGTGTGTGTGTGTGTGTGTGTGTGTGTGTGTGTGTGTGTGTGTGTGTGTGTGTGTGTGTGTGTGTGTGTGTGTGTGCGTGTGTGTGGTGTGTGTTTGTGTGTGTGCACGTGCATGTTACAAGAAAACACTTGTCAGATTTTTAGTTCTCTAAAATCATTTTCTTTCCTTATAAAAATGAAAACAAGCCTAAGCTTGAATACCACCTACTGCTTCTCGTACCTGTTAAACTATCCTCTACATGACACAAAACTCCCCCCTCCAGTTCCTACAGCCAATTCATGATATTCCTAAATGCCTGAATGGCTTATCTTGTGACAAAAGCTCATGGCGATGATTTCCCGTATACCAATCAGTCCCACGAGAAAACCACAAGAGCTGCCCAATCTCAGATAAGAGTTACTCACATATTTCCTATTCTGCACTCTGTCTGGGCAAATGTAATAACTAAATACTAAGTAAATAAATATGCAAATAAGTAGATAGGTAGATAGATAGATAGACAAAGAAATATGTAAATAAGTACATGGCACTGTTAGAATAAAATACAAGGAAATCATTCATAGACAGAACTAGTTTACTGTACATAGTAATAATAACAAATTAAGTAACCATAGGAACAGAGGAAACAAGAACAAACAAATAACCACAATAAACACAAAA